TTACATTCGTATACTTCCAAGAAGCTTACGCCATCTTCGCATACAATGTTTACAGCATTCCTTTAAAAAAGTTGTTTGAAATGCTTGTCATTGCAGAGAATCCTACGCTTGGATAAAAAAAAATTGTTCTATATTGAAAGTTGTCTAAATAGCTAGTTTGTTGAGTGAAAAAGAAAAAAATAGCAAAGAATTCTCGTGAGCAGTTTCCTCTCATTGACTCACTTTTCTGGCTTAAGAACGTTATCGTTCAGAAACCACACTATCCGTGGCAATGGAACACCTTTTACTACCACTTTGAATAGAACTCGAGCATTATGAGGAATGTCGTAGGATTCCTTCAGAGGGTTCAAAAATTCTGGTGGAGTGTAGAGACAACTACTTGACAAAGAAGTCAGAGTGTCGTCTATTGTCGATGCTTCTGGAAAAAAAAGTTATTACGTTAACAGTTGTGATCTTAGGATAAAACTTTTGAATAACTAGTAATATTAATTTATATAAATTACTAACAAACTGAATAAATTTTAAAATAGAACGGTAAGCATTAGCAACTGTTTTGATGTAAACTTGGTTTGCGAGGAAGCGTCCAGGTAAATTAAGTGTTTGCTTCATTTTTTTTCACAAATTGCTCTGCTTTGCACCTTTTTCGAGATACATTATGAAGGAGTAGGTTGGACTGACTCGAATAGGAATCCTACCAAACGTTGATGGTGAAGAACAAATCCAATTTCAATATAAGAATCATTTTACGATAACAATAATTTCTGAGGTGCAAAACAGGTTTGAGAAGAATCATAAATATGAAGGCAAACATACCGTCATCTTCATATATGACTTGAGAGAGCACTTGTTCCGTCGTCTCTGACTGAGGCGGCCTTTGGAATTCGATTTGGAGTTGCACTTCTTGGATAGGCAATGAGTCGTAGCCTTCATCGAATGTCAAAAAGACGGTCAGCTTGCACTTCCTAGCTCTTGGTATGGAATACTCTGTTAGATAGCTAGCTTGATCTCGACAGA